CTCTGCCCCACATCCCCTCAATGTCCCGCAGAATCCCTGGGGACACCTGGGGACACCTGGGGACACCGTGGGGACACCTGGGAACACCTGGGGACACCATAAACTCTGGAACACAACTTGAGGGCAGACCCATAAACTCTGGACACGGCTCTGGAGCAGGACTTGAGGGCAATCCGTAACCTCTGGACACGGCTCCAGAGCATGATCTGAGTCCAGATCTGTGACCCTTGGACACGGCTCTGGAGGACAATTTGAGGGCAGATCCGTACCCTTTGGAGCACGACTTGAGGCCAGATCCATAAACTCTGGACACGGCTCTGGAGCAGAACTTGAGGCCAGATCTGGACACGGCTCTGGAGCAGAACTTGAGGCCAGATCTGTAACGTCTGGAGCACGACTTGAGGACAGATCCATAACCTCTGGACATGGCTCTGGAGCAGAACTTGGGGCCAGATCTGTGACCCTTGGACACAGCTCTGGAGCAGGAATTGGGCAGATCCATAACCTCTGGACACGGCTTTGGAGCATGATTTGAGTCCAGATCTGGATACGGTTCTGGAGCATGATTTGAGTTCAGATCTGTGACCTTTGGAGCACAACCTGAGGCAGATCCATAAACTCTGGACACAGTTCTGGAGCACGATCTGAGGCCAGATCTGTGACCCTTGGACACAGCTCTGGAGCAGGAATTGGGCAGATCCATAACCTCTGGACACGGCTCTGGAGCACAATTTGAGTCCAGATCCATAAACTCTGAACACGGTTCTGGAGCACGACTTGAGGCCAGATCTGGACACGGTTCTGGAGCACGATCTGAGTCCAGATCTGGACACGGTTCTGGAGCACGACTTGAGTCCAGATCTGGACACGGTTCTGGAGCATGATTTGAGTCCAGATCTGGACACAGTTCTGGAGCACGATCTGAGTCCAGATCTGGACACGGTTCTGGAGCACGATCTGAGGCCAGATCTGGACACGGCTCTGGAGCACGATCTGAGTCCAGATCTGGACATGGCTCTGGAGCATGACTTGAGTCCAGATCTGGACACGGTTCTGGAGCACGATTTGAGGCCAGACCTGGACACGG